AAAATAAAATACTTAAAAAACTTTTTTAAAAACCACGTTTTTCTTGTGTACTAAAAAGTAGAAAATAAATTATGGCTCACCCCAAAAAACGTGGGGCGGGCTGTACGTTCACCATCAAATTTCCAAAATTCGTGTGTTGTGTGCTTTTTGCTTCAATCATAAATCTGCCCGACACACGTTTTTTGGGGCGAGCCGTAATTTATTTTCTACTTTTTAGTACACAAGAAAAACGTGGTTTTTAAAAAAGTTTTTTAAGTATTTTATTTAGGTCTAAAAAGGGTCATAGTACAGAAAATTTATTCTACGATATTAAAAATATTCATGAACAATTTCGAATAAGTTTTTCATCGCCACATTTTCTATAATAATATTCATGAAGTTGCAATATCGTTCACATTATCACCGACAAACAAATTGCATTTCAACATGAATACTTGTACCAGAAACGTATTCAGAGCACTCGCGTGGTCGAGTATGGCTGCCTGAATATTTTTCTTCTCAGCCCTTGAAGTCGCAGGCCTATGGAAACGAAGCCTATGCAAGGCTGAAGCAGTCAGAAAAAATGAGTGGGTCAATATGTCCAAATATACTGACACACCAGCTTACCAACATTACGAGCAGAGAGCAACGTGGCACTGATACGCACTTTTACGAAGCTAAACTGGGTCAAGATGAACCACATAAGAGCAAAAAAATGTATCGCTATTTGGACAACCTCTCATTTATTTCTCTGAGTGCGTCATTGATGTTGCAGAAGAGATCTCCGCAAATCATTGCTGGAAAATCAGAAGATCAGGAGCAAAAGGACATATTATTACGTATTATAAGAACTATACACTAAAAAAGTGGGTGAGTCTTTGTCCAAACAGTGTTGCACTTTGTTATGTGGGTTATTCTAACTAAGTTTGGCTTGGCAAAAATGCGTAACTTCTGTTAGGAGTTTTACCAATAACATAAAAGAATTGGAAATAGAGAAAAGAAGCAAAAATATGTTTCAATTATCCATTTGTGACCATCGCGGATTATTATGAACAATTTACCGACTATTATTAAATCAGCGTGACGCTTGGTGTTAGTCAGCCTAACTTGAAATAAAAAATGTAACTCAGTACGTACTCACTGCAGTGAGTGAAAGAGAGCGCATTTTCTCGGCGACGGAAAACGTGAAGTCACGGACAGATGGACGGACGGACGGACATGACGAGCACAATAGTGCATTTTTTCCATGTATGAAAAATGCGCTAAAAATAGTGAAAAATACAAAACCCTTCTAATCAATTTATATGAACGCACAAATACTAAAATTATTAAGGGTACAATGACGCACTAATCATTGAATCAGGAAGGTCAATGGCACTTCAAAGCAGTGCAAATATTTATTCAAATTCAAAATTTCTAACAGTTGGGGCCAACAACATTTTCAACAGTTGAGGTCAACGACTTTTTCAACAGTTGAGGTCAACAACATTTTCAACAGTTGAGGCCAACAACATTCTCAACAGTTGAGGCCAACAACGTCTTCAACAGTTGAGGCCAACAACATGTCCAACAGTTGAGACCAACAGCATTTTCAACAGCTGGAACAACATGTCCAACAGTTGAGACCAACAACATCTTCAACAGTTGAGGTCAACGACTTTTTCAACAGTTGAGGTCAACAACATTTTCAACAGTTGAGGCCAACAACATTCTCAACAGTTGAGGTCAACAACATTCTCAACAGTTGAGGTCAACAACATCTTCAACAGTTGAGACCAACAGCATTTTCAACACCTGTGTCAGCATTAGGCGTACGCATGCAAGAGGTCACTCTAACAAGCATTGCCGTAGACTGATATTCCTCGGCAGGAATATGATGGAGGTGAACGACGGATGAAATATGTATGGTGAGGACTGACATAGGGTATATAAACAATTATTTCTAACGGATGGAATATGAATGGCAACAATAGCGGATAGAAAATTCAAGATGAAAAACTTGCATTTCAAAGAGGAGTTACCGTAGCCTGCATACCTAATAAGCACATTTAAGAACTAATTTAATCTTAAATGAAAGTATTATTGAATATTTAATTGAAATAGCAGATTGCTGACCGAAAATTGAAGAATGAATAGCAATAATAAGACGATAAATAAATTAAATTTAAGGCTCAAACAGTGCAGAGTAAGCAACAATAATTGCAACCCTCTATGCACATGACATTGAAGCAACAATGATTCCGAGTTGATATCGTTGAAACAACGTTTGATCAACGTTATTTCAACGTCTGGTGACTGTGGGTAATGATTTGGAAATTAATTAAAATAAATCAGAGGCTTGAAGCTAATCATCCATATACTGAGTTCTCAAGTAAAGATGTTTTAAAATGAATTGCATTCAAGTTTAGAAGCTTATTCGGGCAGTTATGTAAATTTTAGTGAATTCAAATTGAATTCGAGTTAATTTGAGCAATTTACGTGGCTTATAATGAGTGCAATTAAACATGTTTAACTTGATCATAACATACTAACGCTTAACAATTCATTGATATACTCATACGGTTCAGAGAACTGATATCGAAAAAAATTAAGCTGTCAGCATGACATAATATTTTTTTAACAAATTCTTAAACGAAATGAATAATTCATATCAATTTCTCACAATAACATAAATTACGAGGCATAAACAAAAGAAACGGTGGTTGCTTATTTCAGCGGAACATATAATGCCATCAATATAGTTTCATTTTTAAAGGTTGAGTAAAGCTTGCTTTCATAGCCAGTGGAATGGGTACCTGACATTGAACAGATTTACGAGAAAAAATATTCAGTGCAGATAACGTCCCTCAGCTGCATCGAAACCAGATAATAAATATTCAACTGTCAACGATCCATATAACAAATATTCAACTGTCAACGATCCATATAACCAAAGTACAGGCACTTGTCACACAGTTTTAAATTAAGTTTATCGCTAACTTTTATTATGACGTGCAATAAAATTATTTGATCGCCCTCAATCATTTTTACGTTTAATGAACATCTTTGAAATTTATTTATAAAACCATGCCCACGGTCAAGCTGTGAGCGCCAGTGAAGCCTTATTGTGACAGCACAAAAATTTTATAGCTGGCTGAAGCTTGAACCCACAACTCATTGTTCCAATTTTGTTACAATCCTCATCCCAACCACTGCGAAGGTACATTTAAAAAATTTTGTAACATTAATTTGCAGACGATTAATTGAGAATGAATGTTTCCGTAGGTATTTGAAATGTATGTATGTATACATGTAGATATGTTACATGTATACTGTATGTAGATACAGTATACATGTAAATATATGTTAAAAAAGTAATAAATTGAACCAATGTTTCAGTCTCCGCACAATAAAACATTTCATCAACAATAATTTTTGTCAATTACACGATCAATACACAGCGAGTTCTTTCACTACAATAACCATGTTAAGATATGAAATGGGAGTCAATAGTAAATATGCTGGACCAACATATTCGTCACACTGGCAACAACATTCACCACCCTGGCAACAACATTCATCACCCTGTCAACAACATTCATCACCCTGTCAACAACATTCATCACCCTGTCAACAACATTCATCATCCTGGCAACAACATTCATCACCCTAGCAACAACATTCGTCACATCACCCTGGCATGATGAGCTCAGTTAACCACATTTGCGGCCCAGACATCACACTTCAATTAAATGTTAATTAGTCAATTTCAGCTCCCGACAAGCGACATGAGCGTACAGATGATGACCTCATGCCTCGCTTTGCACTCTTTTTACGTTGGAAATTTGATAATTATCTTATTCATCATAATCCTGGTATGATATGAAGTGTTAAAATTATCTACCGAATCAAATTTTTCATATTAGTTACTGAAATTTTATAAGTTACTTAGTCATCATTATTCTAGTATAATATGAAAGGTAAAAATTACATAAGAATAGGATGAATATTTAATATTGTCATCTGAACGGGAATCTGAACTTGATCAACCGAATGCAACTCAAAAAAATCACTGGTAGAAACTTCATCGGTGACACTGATTGCAGCTTTGCAGTCGGGATCAAAAGTTGAGAGGCTGGTTAATGAGTTGAACAACTTCGTTGTTCAACTCATTAACGCGCGTAGAATTTGGTGTCATCCATCCATTCATGAATATTTATGGGTAACCTGAATTTCATTTGAAAGTTATCTACCGACATCATTATTTTGACTTTACTATCATAC